ATCGCCTTTACTGTGTAAGTTTACTATCTGTGTCTATTACCAATGACCATATACTATGACAAGAGAATTATTGTGTGCACTTTATAGCGATATTGTATAGTACGAACGCAAATGCTCTGTTAATATGTTTACTACATAACTATTTCAGTGGCAATACGTCACTGGATTGGTGGTCGAATTGCCTCATGCCTTGACGGTCATTTTGTTGGTTCAAAGGTAGTAAATAACAATATTCAACGAGATGCACATTAATTGGCCAATCACTTGATTACTCAAAAACATCAACAGGATATTTGCTGAGGTCAGCACTAAACACGATAGAACGTTCATAGGATTAAAGTAGGATTTAGGTCGTGTTATAATTCAAATCCCTCATAAAAATCAGTAGAATATATTTTGTTATTATCAATATGCTAGTCCATTCATTCATTCATTCATTCCATTTTTCGAATCTGGAATCACTCTTACGTTCACCATACGCACAACGTTTAACACCCGTTGTTGCTTTAAATGCCGATACTGTTCGGTAATTGTTGTTTACAAAACAGCAATCAATGCGGTTGCCACTGGCGTGAATAAAAAGCTTTGCCGCCAGTTGCTAAGTGCGTGATTTAAGTCACGCGATATTTCGCATGATCTCGCTATACGCGGAATATGTGCTATAGTGTAATGTCAAGAGTTCTTAACTACGATAACCAAGTACAGATAGCCCTGTTAACTACAATATGCATACAAATGTAAAACAAACTCTTATATATTATAACGTACCTGAAACTCGAATTTCTTTGTCCTCAAATTATGTCTTGTTGTTTGTTACTGTGGCAGACAGTTCCCTGTTGAATACATATGCCGCGATCACGCCCTGATATGTCATGCAATGACCAGTAACCGTCAAAATGTGTTGATATTCAACCTGAATAGAACACCTGTTTGCTACGTATCGCAAACTATCACCGTCAATAAATCACACGAAAGTATTTTCACTGTGGGGTCATAAAATACGACCGCTGAACCGATTCCTTATATGGGGCGACCTTCGTGTTATTACATGTAAGTAGGTCTACAGTATGGCTAAGTAGTACTACCTGGTCAATGTACCTTTGAAACATAAAGGGAATTGTTGACAATTTATACCTAGGGTTTTAAAGACCACGCACGCTCTATTATCGTGTGATATTGCGCGAGGACTGTATTAAAATGTATTTTATATAAGGTATACTCTTTCATGTGCACTATTCAATAACTTCTAGAATGATAAGGAAATGATCTAAATTGTAGGCGTGTCAATGAAATGGCGTCGTCAAGTCTAGATTGAACAAAAACCCAATGTTTTGCAAAGCTATCTTGTAATTTAAACTGTCACACTAATTCTCATCGCTGTATATAATGGTGTACAACGGGAATTGTTGTCAAATTTACTGACTGGTTTACCGGAACCACGTGATAGCAGTTATCAGATGATAACGGGGCAGTTCTTATGGTCAATGTGTGAGTGCTGGATGGGGATTGAACACACCATTATGATTCGTTCTCTTTTAGAATATATCTGTGAGTGCGTTTTCACATGTCGTTCGCCTGTGAATGTCGACCTCAGAAGCGCTAATTACACAGTCGATTTCATTTATGAACGAGTCAGGCAATTTTGATAATGTCAATACATTTTTCTGACCAAGATGAGCCATGAATACAAATTGTCAGAAAATTCAAATTACAGTTTTAAAGCAGCGGTATATGTGTTTTTGGACATCTATTTTTGTTTAAA